AATAAGTATTGATCAGCAGTGTATATGTAACATCTTAATGCTTCTGTAAGCACAGGGCACAGAGTCAAATAAAAAATATAAGCACCTTAAACAATTGAACGTCCAAAGAATAAACGTATTCTTAATGTCAATCAATAACTAACATGATCAAAATATATATTGTAAAATAAGAGGATATCAACTATTATAATGTCGTCTTTATTCGTTATCTTTATTCGTCGCCTTTATTCGTCATTGTATTATGTTATAAATATTTATTGCAACATCAATGCAATAAGTTGAAAAATTACGTGTTAGGTGCTTTCATTTTACATAAAAATCGCAACTGCAAGAATTTGATCTCTTCTGTATTGAGTTTCACCACGCCTTCTTGATTGTCAATCGAAAGTAAAGTGCCGACGGCTTCGCGATCTTCTCCTAGAATTACTTTGACACGATCGCCACGCGATGGTACTACAGGTTCCAGTTGTTCGCATCCTAGATTAACAACTCGGTCTTCGGTAGGTAAGTAAACGGTGCACATACCGCCCTGTTAAATAAACATGTTATTTTTTTAGAAACAGAATCAGCGAAGCCTATAAAGTGTATATGTGTATATCAATATTGATATTGTGATAATTAAAAATCTGGATCTTATATGTACATTTAGAATTGACAGAATTACATACAGAAATTCCTCGAATGACGGCTTGTTGTCCAGCAAGTGCGGGATCATCATGAGAGTCGCGGATGCGTACTTCAATATCTGTCGTATGCCAATCTGAACCACTTATGCTAGAACCAACACCTGCATCCAGTCCAGAACCAGGTGTTTGCGGGTTGTAAGGGCTACCTGTCATACCTCAAGGATTATTAATCATGTCTTGCACACACACACAAAGTATGTTATCATCTCTATTTTATATTATCCTTTGTCATTATCACATTGCTTACCAGGTGTCATAGGACTGTAACTCATCGGAGATGGTGTTGCAAATGCTCCATGAGGGCTGGTAGTGTATCCAGTGCCACTTGGGGACGGAGTAGCAACATAACCCGCTGGACTCGGACTTGCGGTGGCGCTACCCGCAGGACTAGGACTTGGTTGATATGAACTAAAGCTTTGTTCCGAACCATACATAGTGCCTGGAGTTTGTGGAGTAAATGGTCCTCCAGTAGGTGGATATCCAGGCGCATAGCCAGGTGAACCACCTTCTTCCATACTGTAGCTGTCGAAATCATTCGTTCTAGCAGGTGTGTTAGTAATTGACGGATCCCAAGCTCCTGACTGTCCTGGAGTTCGCGAACCATCGTGCGATGGTGTCATCGAACCATAATGAGGAGTGCGAGAGCCATCTGTAACATTAAAATTAAACAAATTTTGAATAATTTCAAGTAAAAAATAAAAATTAAATATATTATATGATATTATATGATGACGATTACTCACTTTCGTACATGGGTGTCTGAGAACCGTGCATAGGCGTTTTCGATCCGTCTCTTGCATACATCGGCGTTTGTCCACCGGCTCCGTAAGCTGGAGTTCTGTTGTAACTGCTGAAACCGCCGTCCTTTGTCGGGACACCGACGTTCGCTATGTGAGATCGATCGACAGAAATCGTTTGGCAAGTGGAATGCAGTTCCACACGCGCTGTGGTCTCTGTCGCGTCCTTTACAATACCCACGTTTCCCTTGTACGGTCCACCAGTTATCTTAATAGTTGTTCCAATTAATTCCCTGTCGCGTCTCGCACCACCGCCACCGCGACCTCTGCCTCTTCCACCTCCGCCACCGCCTCGACCGAAACCGCCTCTGTAAGAATGATCGATAGTTTACGTAAATTAAATTTAAAAGTTTATATGTATCTCGAATTTAATAAAATAGAATGAGAATGAGAGACCAACCCGCTCGGATGCATCGGAGAAGCAATTCTGGGTGACATAAATCCTGCTACTGGTGACATGGAATTTATAGAATTTGTCTTATTCCCACCAGACAATTGTAAATGTCTGGTCTTGCACACAAATATGCCACCGTTATCGACAAACATTCGCGAGTGTAGGAAAGCAAAACTCCTGTATAAATGTTTAATTTCACCACCTCGACCTGCATGCGGTCCGTCAACCACTTTAACAATATCTTTCTTTTGTATAGTATTTTGTTGCGAGTCCAAAGCAACCGCGTTCTTATTCTCTCGACGCTTTGTAAGACCCTGCGGTCTCGCTTCAACCACTTTTCCATGCATAGAAAGTACATGGAAATTCTCACGTTCCAATCGCACGATAACGCCAACTGTTTGAGTATCAAGTTGCACCAAGTCGCCCCATTGGAATTGTCCTAAGCTATCGACGCCAGTCGCCATGTCAGAACATAATTGCAAATCCCTTGGAAGAACCTCAAGTTCGTGCATAGATAAATCAGAGAACAAAACTACTCTATTTTGTTCTACCCTGACAATCAAACCTGTATCATTTTCATATCTTCCGGCTACAACCTGCGAATTAATTACAATAATATTGTATTAACATTATAAAAAATAAATTTATCTATTTTAATAAAAGAAGCATAAGTGACATTTGTAGACATTTTACCTTTACATGATCGCCTTGTGTGAAGTATTTTCGTAATTCTGAAGCTTGGAATTCCAAAGCTTCTTTTAGTTCTTCATGCTTGGGCATAACCATGATCATGTTTCCATCTATGGAAACTATTTTTCCTTGTAGATTTATCAATTCACCTTCACACACCTCTACATTATCTCCATTACTAAAGGAATGAGTTACAGCTTGATCTTCTTTTCCAGAAACTCCAGTTCCTGGTGCACCACTCAAATCTATCTCAACACCTTCTGGCGCTTCTTCAAATCTCTCTAATTCGGAAAGTGTAGGTTTAACACCTTCTGCGATAATAGCACTTGTGGTGAAATTCTTGTAGAGAAAGCTGCATAAAAATAATTAATCATTATAAAAAAAACATACAAAAAATAAAATATATATTATACAACACAGAAGCAAAATACAAACCCTTTACGACTGTATCTATTGCCTTCGAAAATCAGAAAATCTCCATCGCTAGTAACTTCTCCACCAATAGCACGAATTGCTTCAGGATCAAATGGTTTTGCTGGTGGTCTTCTCTTCTTCTTGCGTTTCAATGCTTCAGATTCGCTCTGTGCTGTTCTCAATGCACCGCGCGGTCTGGTATAATCTATTCTTGGCAATAATTTTAGATGAACTTGATTTTGCGCTAAGTCGACATAATCGACCTGAGCTATATCATCTTTATAAATGCCTCGTTTTAAACGGACCCATTGTTTAGCTTTTAAACCAGTTTGCTCTTTAACTACTCGTAGCACATCTGTCATCTCTTTAATCGGTACCATTTGCTGCTTCCATATACCCATTCTGAGATTTCCAACATTTTCGATAGCAGCTTTTACATGCGGCTGTTTATAAGCCTCTATGTAAATGTAACCCTTTACTCCTTCCGGGGCTACAACGGATTTTATCTGGAGAGGTTCACCTAAAATTTTAAGAAATAAAAAAATAATTATGAATATATACAACAAAAATATGACATTCAATTTCTTAAAAATTTTCATCTTACCAGAAAATTGATATGTAATAAATTTTCTCATCAATAAAAGCACAGTAGCTTTTTCTTCTCCTATACGACATTTCACCATCCACAAATTAGGATCTTTGACGCCAGGCAATAGAGTTTGCTGAGTGATCTCATCACTCATTTCTTCACCACCATCACCAAAATGACGAGCAGCAATCGATTCGTCAGCATATTTTTTCCTGAGATATTCCTCAATTTCGTCTTCTTTCTGTGAACTAATAAAAAAATATATTTATTAAAAGATTCAATTATTTTTATTTAAATAAAAATCGCAAAGCTTTGTAATATATCTCTTCAAAATTTTAATACTTACTCCCACAGATTTGTACCTCTACGTCGTCCTTCAATCTCACGTGCAGTCGGGCCCAATTCATCCACTTCGTTTCCTACAATACCAATTTCTTGAGCACCTTCCTCCCAGTCATCATCTTCCTCAACTTCATCATCTACTTCAGCTTCATCTATAATAAAACTAAATCTATCTTTCTTCTTCTTTTTCCTTGGTCTATCGTCATCTTCTTCCTCTTCTTCCTCATCATATTCGCTGCTATTCAAGTCTTCCCCTATAATCAAAACATATATGAGAATTGTAAAGAAAACTTAACTTTAAAATTTATTAAGAAAACTAAACAAAAATTTCTTATATACTTTTTATTCAATATTAAAAACTTTCTGAATTATACCTTCTGGTTCCTCTTCTGGTTCCACAGCTTCTTCATCTCCCGACCTAACTTCCTCTGCTTCATCTGCCTTATCTCCATCCTCTGAACTATAAATGAAATAAATACACATTACATTAAGATAAAATATATTCGAATATAATCCTCCAACATATACATGTATACGTGTACACATATGTAACACTTAAGGATAAATTAATGTAAATATATTTAAAAGATATTACGGATTCTGCATATGTGCTATGTATGCAAATATAAGTCGAGGTTTTTACTTACCCAGATGGTGATCGGGAACGTGAACGAGACCTAGACGGACTCCTAGATCCCGAACTTCGTGAAGGACTCCCAGCATCGCTGGCACCTGTATAAGTTTTATTACACATTTTTCGCATCAGATATTTGTACTATCATATTGTTATTACTTTTATTATGACTCTTTACCTTCTGAATCCGACATTTCGAGATTATTTGCTCGTGAAAATGGAAAATTGCAGGAAACGCACTCTCTCAAACACAAAACAACTCGAATAAGGTTGGAATGAATAAAATGGAGTTATGGAAGATGGAAATGAAAGTAGAAAAAGTATAGTGGCGCTTCTAACGAAAATTTCTAGAACTCGCAAGAAATTTACTCAATGAGTATACACGAAAGCGTCGATAATGTCATCACTTCCGGTTTAGGCATTTTCGGTTTGACGAATCGTATCTAGATATTCACGCATCATCATGATTATTAATTTTCAATGAACAGCGGTATTTTGACAGCTGCTGCTGTCAGTTTGACGTTTGACAGCTGTTTAACAGCTAATTAAGTGATGATCGATGAATATCAAATACAGTACGTTCTGATTCAAAAATTTATGATTTTAATATGTTGTTTTAAATAATTCTTTTAGTTAGGATCTGATAGTTTTTGAGATTCTATTAATATGTCTATATAATTGCGTTTTTTATTCTTTTAATTTTATTTTGTATCTTCTAATTTCATGAGACATACAAATTCCTATACTTTATTATATTCGTATAAATATTCGTATACTTTATTATAATGTAATAGGATAATAGAGATTATTTATAATCAACATTTAAAAAATTGTTTATATTAAAAAAATAGAAGTATATAAAAAATAAAGAATTTATTTTCGTATTATATAAAGTTAGAAATCAATATCTGTGAAATATATATTGATCTATTAAATGCTGAAAAATTGCCTAGGTAACAAATAAACAACAGGATCATGATCACTGTCGAATATTACTCATATTATATTCGATTCACGTATACTTTGTCGTTCAGTTTCGACATGTCTGATATCGCGGAAAATCTTCTCACACAATATTACGGATTGTCTAAGAAATCAGAAACTGAAAATTTTCTATCAATTCACGAATGTGTAAGCAACGTGGAGAATAATGTAGAGAAATTAATTGGCGAACAATCAACCGTGGACACGGATGGCAATGACACATCTCAGGAAACGGAAGTGCAAGTGCGAAATTCTATTTTTGAAAATAAATTTAAAAATAGTAAATTAACCATATCTTCATATTATTTATATATTTTTAGGGAAATGACGTTGAAAGCGAGGAAGAAAATTCCGAAATTGACATTCCGGTGAGATCCTCGCGAGCATTAGAATGGGAAGCACTAGAAAATGATGAAACATCATCTGGATTCGATATTATTTTCGAAGCAAATACAGCGAGTAATTTGCATGAAAATACAAGCGCTTTTTCCGGCAAAGAGACACAAGATCATAATACTAAAATCATCACCCTAGGTAAAATTACATAATTTATTCTCGTCGAATATATATATTTTAATATCATTTTTTAACTATATATGCAAAAAAGATCCGGAAGACAACGAAGGGAACGATTCCTATCTCTCACTTAGCGAAGATGTATTACCGGATAGCGCTTCAGACGTTTCCTCGATAGTAGGAAAGAAAAAAAAGAAGTCTCCAGATGTGTGTATTTCACCCTCGACACCACCGCCAAATAGATCTGCAATATGCAACGAGACATTTGTAGATTTAACGAGCACTGGTCTTACGTCATTTCCCATTGAAGTGCTCGAGAAATATCCTACAATACAAGTATGAATATAATAAGTTTTAGAATTAATATAAAAATTTTTTGAATAATTTTTAGAATTATAAATTGTATGCAAAAAATTTTTCAAATATTTATGAAGTGACTGAAGATTAAAATATTTTCTATTACTCATTTTCATTCAGATGCTATATCTAGAAAATAATAATCTCTCTGAGCTCCCGAAAGAGCTTTTCATTTCTTTGCCACATTTGCAATGGCTGGACGTTCGAAATAATCAATTGACAAATTTACCTACGAGTATTCGAGCGCATTCTTCGCTGGAGAGCATTCTGCTACAAGGAAATAAATTCGAGAAATTGCCATTAGAACTATGTAAGTAAATTTGAGTAAAGGTATAATAATTATTTTATCAATTATGTACTTCTATCGTTTTCGAATTTTTTTTTTAAATAATGATGGAAATATTTGTTCCATTAGGCCTGGTACCAAATCTTAAAATACTCAATATAGCATATAATCCTATCAGTACACCTCCAAAGGATATTATAGCTCTTGGATGTTCCAGTATTCTCAATTATCTTCGTACTGAATGGAATAAATTGCATCCGGATGAGCCAGCGATATCTGTGGATCGTAAGAATATGTCGAATTTATATATTTCTAATTTCCACATTATTATATATATATATATATATATACACATTACGAATTTCATTTAAATTAATCAACGATTATTTAAATGAAACAAACTGCTAATAAATTGCTATAATCGCTAATATATAAATTACAATCAAAACAAATTTATTTTAGAAAAAATTGAACCAAACTTATCAACGATTTTGTGTTATCAATCTCCTCACGAAAAGCGACGAAAATTATCAAAAGTTTCGCAACGAGCGTCAAAAAGCACGAATGATATCGGCGGTTCATTCAAGGGAGTTTCAGTCAGGAAGAGGAGCAGAGCTTACAAACCCAGTAACAGGTACAATTCGCAAATTAACACTTTCCTGGAGAATCCAATAAATGATACGCATAACGATGATGCAACGAGTTCTCTTTGCGCATCATGTGCGCGAAATCTTACTGACGTCCGATACAAGAACGAAAATGAAGGAAGCATGAAGGAAAATGAAAGTGATAATCAGGATAAAAAACACGACAAGCAACACTCATTTTTAAAAATGATAACTTCGTGCCAGGATGTCAGCAAATCTTGCATCAGAAGAGAGATCGTCGAAGTGGATGCGAAAATTTTGCATCTAATCGGGCCCTCGCCTAGATCGTCTTACATTAGGCGAAATGTTACAGGGTTGATAACATATAAACGTTATCCTGGAAAGGAATGTAGAATTCAAACGATCAGTAACGAGACTAAACACATTACGCTTGCAAAATCGCGTAATACCGCGGTATTCAGTGAGGAGAAAAAAAATGCAGGAATACTGAACACGCGGAGTTAGTTTTCGATATTGTTACAAAAGACATGCAAAGAATGCAATTGCGTCCGATGCAACTGAAAAATTCGCGCTGCATATTATCATGTTTAGAGAATTATCTTGGTATCAAAACCGATTAGGTATCTCAACTTCTGATCAATATATCATATTAATTATATTTTCACTAATAATAATAAAATATTAATAAGAAGAATTAACGAAATTTAAAGACAATGTTGACAACAATTTATCTATTATATATACGGCAAATCCCTTTAAAATTGTTCGTAAAAATCTATAAATAATTACTCTATCGCAATCTGTTTTATTATTATATATAAAAAATATGCAATTAGTATTTTCTACGTTTAGATGCGAAAATAAAGGAACTAATATTGCTATGGAACAACGACTGCAATGGATGTTTAAAGCGAGAGATTTGTTCAGTGCACAATCGTCAACAATTCAGAAAATTAAGTAAGACATTTATCTAAATTTTTCTCAATAATCGCAAATAATGTACATACACATATACATGAATTGTATTATATAGAGACTCGAATGCTATAAAAGAATGGAAACGTGATAAACGAAGTTTTAGTAAAAGCATGGAGAAAGTATCGAAAAGAAATGAAGGTATATAATATTTTTCCCATATGATAGAAAAAGAAAGTAATATCTATAATTCTTTCTTTTCTTATCGGAACATGAATACAAAATATAAAAATATCCGCGATTGTATTATGATTCATGATGTATTTATTTATTAGGCGATATTCCGTTTGCAATCGACATTAAAGATTATCCTGGGATACGAAAACAACCACAACAAACGGTATAATAATTTAATATACATATTTTATCTGAGAAAATAATGAATTAAAAGAATTTAGTAAACACAAAGTTTTCTAACTGTTATCTGATCTAGGGAAAATATGCGATTAATCAGATATGTGGAAAATTAAACTTTGCTGCACCAGAGTAAGTCATATAAATGATATAATATACATTTACACACAGTAATTCTTCCCTATAACTTCAAATATTATCTTTCAGAAATATAAATAACAAGATTCAAGAATTACTAGGATCTTTGCAAAAGTTTGACATTACGAAATCTTCAGAAATATTGACACCTAAATCGAAACAAAAATATTTACAAACCGAGATTAAAAAGGTATATTGCGTTTTTTTTCGCGCGTTAAAATGTATTTAAGAAATAATTACTATTTCGATTTATTTTTATAGCTCTCGCATTTTCAAAAGGAAGTTCAAAATTTAAGAAGATTCAACGAAGTTATATCCGCTCCGATGAATCCTCCAAACAGTTAATCTCAATGTTTTCTTTTCTGATTTTTATTCGGAGAGATTTCTACTTTGATCTATTACTATTTATGAAAAATTCTAAGCTCAGTATCAGTCTTGAAGTATTTATTCAAATAAAACGGTATTAATCACACACGCACGTATTACAATATTAATTTCATGTTCAGTTTCAATAGCACTTGTCGAGACAATTGGACAGACATATGTCATCGTTATAAGAAATGCATTTTTTCTATAAGATAAGAAAACTGAAATTGTATTATATTCAACGAACATATCATATCTACTATTAACATACATACGATAAAAAGACGTGTGTGTATGTCAAAAATACACTTACAAATATTATTGAAATTATTTATGAGAAAATTCGCACGCATTCTTTCCAATCTCCTCGCCAGTGCATTCGATTCACTTTGCTGTTATCGCTATATTCAGTATAAAAATCTTAAAAGCCACAATTATTACCACTAAATATATGCAAATATTTATGCGATAACTACGGATGTTCTTTCTTTTTTTTGTACATGGCACTTAATCAAATCTCGTAATAAAGTTTGGAGGTATATAATATACAGGATTCTCTTGGAAAACTATCTCAAACAGCACAGTAAATTGTTACTGTAATCAGTACCATCGATAGAGACAAATAATCTATATTGTTGTGGTTAGTTTTTTTTTATATATCCTTACTACTTATATTAATTCTGTACATTTCACACGCTCTAATGCATTTATAACTTATACAGATAGATAATGGTCAACTTATTAATAAAGATACAATAAGAAAAATTAATTTTGTGTATATATATAACGTGCGTTTTTGTTCTCATTACAATATTGCGCTTTTTGTTTTATATTTGCTTATGACGTTACTCGTGATATAAAAAGTGTCTTTCTTTTAATGATCAATACATTCTATGTCAATTAATAGTGCGCTTTCACAAAAGGATTAAATTAAGTTAAAATAATAATGTATAATCTCCTGCATATTTATAATGCCGAATATATGACTTCAATATGGAAGATAGTATCTACAATACCTTGCTCATATGTTCAACAATAATTGATTATGATAAAGGAATGATACTTTTCATAAAAATTTTTTATATATTTGATCACATTTTGTAACATATACATGTATTGCACACGTAATTGTAAAGCGGATCAAGATAATCTATAATAAAAACTATAAAAGGTAAAATTATGTATAAGATCTAAAAAGCTTTCCCATTGAAAATTCTAAATTCCAATGTATTTCAATATACTACATATCTGAGCAGTAAATACTAAGAAATATATTTTTTTTGTATACTTATGCATTTTTTTATATTAGAATTATATATTTAAAATCTAAATCATATATCATTTTTTATAGAATATTTGCTACATAATATATATTATAAGCATTTGAAAGATGTGTTTCAAAATTATATTCGATTACTTTTATATATGATTTTGATAAGAAAATAGTTTTTAATGAATTAATAAGAATTTAAACGACTTATTAATGAACACATGACATTTCACATCATACACGCATACACACACACTTTCTCTTTCTCTCTCTCTCTGTTTCTCTCTATTCAGAATTATATATACATATTATTAAAACCAATGAGATACTGAATTGTCATATACATATATGTGACTATTAATAAAGGAAAAAATCGAATCCATATATTATGTTGAAAACGAATCTGCTTATTGCACTATATATATATATATATATATATATATATATATATATATTCTTATTAGTGTATCTTCCGAGATATTACATTGATTAATGAAATATCATTATATTAAAATATGATATTAATTTGCATCAGTTGTGCCATATGTACATATGTATATACTTGTATCAAACAAAGATTTCTAAAGAGTTTGATACTATAAGATTATACATCAAAATATTAATGATATCTGGTTGCACAATGTACTTCTGAAGTACACTTATTTTTTTAATCTTATCGCATTGGCGTGCTTACAATTTAAACCAAGGCGCTCAATTTTATTAATAGTCTCTCTTAGATTATTAATTTTAGACTATTAATTATTATCCTAAGAAAACATGGTTTTTTTAGGAGATGGTCCAAGTAAATATACCTTGTTGACGAAGATTACCGGAGCACTGATTCTTTGTTAGAAACTTCTACACATAGTCTTGATTCCAGGGCATTCCTCGTGTGCCGGATTCAAATCAACGAAACCTAGTTTGCCATAAAATTCATGAGATTCTTTATCCGTTGGCGACATCGTCGTATGCACTCCGAAAGAACCTGAATCCCATATATTGACATTTTTTTAGTATTCAAAAAATATAAAATATAAAGAATAATATATTGAAATATTATATTAATATAATATTGAATATAATATTAATATAATATTAATAAAATATTAAAAATCTATGTATTATGCACTGAAGAATGTTTAACAATTGAATTTTTAATATAAGTCAAATTTTCATTAATTATGTTGCAGTAAAAAGTTCGTACCGTTTGCTCTTAAAGCCGCAAGAATGCAAGTTATTAAACGTTTACAAATAGACTGATCTGTTACACTTGGTAACACAGTACACATGAGTCTCGACGGATGTTGCCTGCACAGTTGTTCTGACACATCCGGAATAAATGAATGGAAATATTGTATGGCATCCTGCGTAAATTTTAATTTGAAAATCGTTAGTACAAAAAAATCATACAAAAATAATACAAATGCATACAAAAAGTCATTAATATTCGCATACCTGAACATTTTGTGGCAATTCACTAATGCTATTATCTAAGGGATACTTCATTCGCAATTCAGGAATCCAAGAAATAGCCATTTTCTGATTATATGAGTTTACATTCAGCGCAGCCATTGCATAACCCACTACACCACTTTCATCCTCAACAACCATACACAATTCTGGACTCAAAGTTAGATAGCCTCCAACAAGTCTAGATAATAAAAAAATATTTATCAAAATAATTTTTTTTAGTCAAAAATTGATTATATGCAGTAGAATTCTGAACTTTTGCTAGAGAAGCAGAAAATTCTTGGAAAAGAGAAATTAATATGTATTCTCTAGTGCATTAATATATCATATATTAATGTTATACCTGTCTGCAACAGCTGATGAAGATGCACAATTATTAATTTGATTACACACTGCGTAGACTGCTTCTTCATCGCTAGGTAAATATGGCCGAATCGCATATATTTTACTACTGGGCACTTCCGGTGCTTTATAGACGAATAAATCGTTACCACTGTCCACTGGAATTAATCTCTAAACACACATATAATATATTTTTTCAATATATCTCATCATTCTTATGATTAACTAAACAATAAAAGAATTAAACCATGACGCACCTGTAAATCAGCTGTAAGTCCACCGCGGAAAACCCATGGCTCTTGGTCTCCACTCATGAATGTTTCTTTCCAACCATTTGAAAACCCTATAGCCCAAAACACAAAATCATTTTTAATAAATCGAAACGCTTGAGTTAAATATTCGCGCGTTATGCGTATAATTTAATTTCAATTGGCTTCCACTGCTTGAGCATCAATTTTGCTTAAATTTTTAACATGCAAAGATACAATTCGATTGGAGCTGTCTCACGTTTCTTTCTCCCGTTTATCTTGGAATGCCTTTCCGCTTCTCATGTCAATTACAGCATGAGAGAAAGAATGATCCATCCAATCGGACAACTAAGGTGCAGTAAGTTTTATAGATTTAAAAAAACAGATTGACAGATAATCTTTGAAAATATTCGACACTATATAGCATGAGCAATATAGAATAATAATATGAGATTGAAAAAATTGAATAATATCAATTTTTTATTCTAGTTATCCAAATTTTGCTTGATTAAAAAAAAAGTTGACATTAGTAAATAGAGAAAAAGAATTACACAGATGTTTGCTGCACCAAAGCTTGCGCAATGTTAAACTCTTGAAGCATTGGATTAGGATGCAGGGAAATTGGAATAAATAGTCCAGTTTGCCAATATGCGCCTGAAATAAAATTCTTATCACGCCTGAAAAGAACATAGTTTCTGAAACTAAGTAAAAAAGAAATTAGTGCAGGCAAGTTGGCAAAAGGAGAGTAGTTGATCATTTAAGATAAAAAAAAGAATAAATATTTTTTACTGCAATACCATTGTTTGCCAATCTATAAAATATTAGCATATATTAAAAGAAAAATCGGAAGAGTTATCTTTTATCGCAAATGACCAAAGATTTGTAAATGGGAGATGTTCAAGAGTTTATAACTTCCTATTTGCTAAACTGTGCCAATTCTACATATTAATGATGGACCTAATTCAAAGATGCAAAAATATTAAAATCAATATATGTTGAATATTATTAATTCAACTGCACACTCTGTTTCTAAATATAAATTTGGAAAATTCAATATCATTAAAATTAATAATACATTCATATAAAAACTGGTATGAGTTATATAAATGTGTAGAAATAAAAATATTAGTAATAAAATTATCATGAGAAGTACGTCCATCGCTTATTAACACGAAAATGAATGTGCTTTTTATACACATTGATTTTTCGAGCTATTAAAACGCCACTTCTACGCGCATATTTCTCGTTCAACTCGATAGTCTCGCCAGTTAAACGAGAGTCTTTTGTAAAATCCCAAACAAAGTTTCAATCACGCAATTATCGCTGCAATGTTTGGAATTTTATCATTTCGCGCGCTTTCTGCTATGTTACTCAAAGACTTGAACCGCATACATGTGTAGCTGCCCTGGGTATACGTCGTCATCGTAGATGGAAATCTGCCAAACGCTATCAACAAGACAAAAAAACACAGAAGTACGAGTTAGTTAATAAATTTGAGCTATATTGATCCTGATCATTTTTATACATTCTGCAGGAGGATGTTTGTTCTAAAACAAAATTTCAAGATTTAAATTTTAAATTTAAATTTCACCTCAATTTTGTAATAAATAATTTGGCACATGAAAAAAGAATATTAAAAGATAATAAACATTAAGGCAAATCAATTTTCAATTTCAATAATTTTAATATTCATACATAAACATACTCCTGCTTTGTGTTCTCTGTAAAAAAAGTCAATTGATATGTTAATAGCTGGTTTAAATACTTTTTAAATTCAGCATATTTTTTTGTTCCTCCATAAAGATGCTGTTGAATGCCATCTCATAAAAATCACCATATTCGCCATTGCTACAAATGATTTTCTTCGCCAGTATGGGAAAACCACATCAATTCAATTCATATTTTCATAATCAGTGATATGTCACCTGTGAGTCAAAGTTAGATCAAGCAATTTAAAGTACAGGTAAAACTTTTTACAAATGTAAAACACATTTAGCTAATTGTATAAAGCGTAAATTTCATTAAAACTGAAAGAATAGATGTGGCTTGCCTATGTGATAATTGCGAAAATGAATCAGCGGCTATTAGTCAGAATCGCTTTTAAAAAAGCTACAAAAGTTACAAATGAAAAATAGCTAAAAATTGCCAAAATTTTTCAGACAAGTAGCAATTATGCGTGCGTATGTAATATATAATAAATTTCGATAAATTCCTGTATTTATGCATTCTATCTCAAAGAGTATTTAATGTGTGTGAGTATAAATTTATGTATATTAAGTGTGTAATTCTGACTTACAGCAAAATTTTTCCTACACGCACAGTATAATGCATTTATTTCTAATGCGCAGAAACAAATGCATATTATGAGTTCATATGAATATGTAGAATGTGGTATGTGCATTTCCGAATATTACTGATAATAGTGTTACAAATTACTACACGAATTTAGAAAATAATTTATATTGTATTATATTATAAATACAATAAATAAGCAAAAGAAATATCCACTCTGTTATTTCATCAAAGTTATCATTTTCTTATACATCAGTTTTTAAAAAAAGAAAATTATAAATTTGAAAAATATTAGATATTTCTTAAAACAATGAATTATGGTCTCAAAAACTATGACCTTTTAAAAATTAAATGTATATAAATTTTCTTTTTTCTTTAGCATACATATAAATCAAATATATTATAATAAAGCAAATAATTATGTGGAAAGTTATATCAATCAATCAGTAATTTACGGATATTAAAAAGTAGATATGTATAGCAAACTTTCACAGCACAATATCTTAATTTACAAAGAATTAGTTCAATTATTATATTAGTTTTGTAATAGTATTACAATACCAATATATCATATAAATGTAGTTTTTAATATATAATATATTCAAATATTTATAATAAATAATTTATATTATACTTAATATCACAAGATTTTAGTTTAAATTTTAGTAAAACTATATTAATATTGAGCGATCTTTTAGACAACAAAACAAGAGTACAATATATTATTATAAACATCTGAACTTTAAGATAAAATTATTTCAAAAATACTTTCCTTGTAAAAAGATAAAGTTATATAACAAAAAATAAGAACAATCACTTACCAATACTCAAGACACTTTTGTTCTGAAATATATAAGTAATAAATTATAATATTTTTAGAGAAAAGGTGAAACAACAGCATTTGTCTGCAGTACAATGGATATAAATTTGGTTTTAGGAAAGACTAATTTTTATAAGATATATAACAATTACAAAAGCAAATATATGACACAAGTATATATTTTAAATTAGGAAAACTAATATCATAGACTTGCACATGCATACTTTTATACCAGCATATCAGCATCTCAAATTGACTTTCTTTTGTAGTTATGTACTTATAATGTATTAAAATAAGCAAAACTGTATCATTTATCAATTCTTATTTTGATTCATATTAATTTCTGATATCTGACAAAATTTAATATAAAATTTTGCAAAATTAAAAATATTATTTTAAGTAAATTTAAAGTACATAAAAGCACATTTATATTTTCTAGAAGTTATTCCAATTAATAATTTTCACAAATTCTCATGTCATAAATTATTTTCAATATATTTTGCTTTGTCAAGAAAACAGATTATTCTTAGAGAGATCTTTAATGTAATATACATTTTAATATCGTCAATATATCAGATAATATTTCATATATGAATCAATATACAAATACAACTTACCCAGCCATTTCACGTAACTATTTAGGAGAGACACAACTCCCCTCATATCCCATACATACGCATACAGATCGTATAGCAACTCGCGATTATTACAGTATGTGAGTCTTTGGAATAATCTGTTTACTCCATTACACATGTCGTTTAATCTAGCTGCACGAAGATGCCATTCTTGAATCTGAAAGATAAAAAATATCAAAATTGTAAAATATAAATAAAAAATCATAGGTAAATAATTTTACTCGCAATTGTAACTTACATCTGATTCAGAGGCTGATTCTTCTTCTTTAGACTTTTTCATAACAACATACGCGTTACTTTTCAACCAATTAAATTCTTGCAACAATTGAATTCCTTGACCACCATGTTCAAACGGCAAATAAAATAAATCACAGAGAAGTGACAGATCCTCGTGCGTGAGCTCCTTGTCGATATCCACGGATTCTTGAGGTATTGTGTCTGCGTTATCGGAATTTTCATGATTTTCGCTATCATTTTCTATTATCATTTGTGTACCATTAACTGTGGGAGAAGTACCGTCTACTTCCACTTGCATACTCCCGGAAGCTTCACTACACGTCTGATAAACAAAAATTTCACGATTATACATGCATAATTAAATTTTAAAAAATTTGCAATAACTTACAGAAATATTATCTACCATAGCGTCATCTTCCGTTGCAATTTTTCCTATGTGCGCTGGCGAATTGTTTGGAGTCGTATTACAATCCATAGGTTCTATGGAAGATAACCCCGTTGACGGTGGATCACCACTCATATTAGTAGGTAAAGTAGTCAAAACGGGTTCACTGACCACCTTTATGTCCGATACTAAAGAATTCATCACAGGTCCAGATGAAGGCTGCACGAAGCTATCGCTAACTGTTACAGTTGAACAAACAACTTCCGCCAATGCTTGAAGGTGATTAGAATTTGTTCCAGACGTAGATGTGGCAGGAACCGTAGTTGTTGTCGTCGATGTAAGACTCATGCAAGTGTTGACAGAAGGTATTATTGGAATAGGTATCGTAGGCGCAACACACGGTTGCGGTTTGACTATTACACCCCAAGCTGCTTTCTTTTTGTTAAACTCAAATATCCATTCGCTTATTGCACTTTTTAGAGCATGTCGAGGATGATACATATTCGGCGATAACGTCGATGGTACATCTTCACCGAGAACGCCATCCTCTGTTTCAGTTTCTAATTTAATATCTGCAGACACAGTATCATCTAGAATATAAAATAATTCTCATCAGTTTCTAAATCTTTAATGTTAATATATGACTGTTAAATTATATTTATTCTACATTATTTGTTCCTTCTTATACATTTTTAGATACATGTAAAAAAACATGACAATTGTTTAATATAACTCAATCATCTAGAACGATTGTCTGGAAAACAAAAAATTCGATTCCCGATCTAAACATTTTTGCCTGTTATTTTTCTTGTTTAGAAGTTTATTATCTAACAAAAAAAACTATAAAATAGAATGTAAAATAAAAATACGTACTTAAACTTAGATCTCTTTTTCCATCCACATTGCATCTACTCCACTGAGCCAATGTATGAATTGCTATGAAGTTTGCTCCATATTCACAATTAGGATTAGTTAAAACTCCTCTAAGTTTAGGTATAAGATCGGGAGAACGACCAGAATATGGTCCGAGAAACACTCTTTTCTGATCATAATCATTAGCATGTAAATTATCCCAGATAACAGGTGGCCTTCTGAGCACTTCTGTGATTTCTTCGATGGATTCTACAGTTAAAAGTCTTGATATAACTTTAGGTCCAGTCCACATTATATCGATTTCCTGAGCTAATTTACTTCCAAGAGTGTTGAGATATTCTGAAGACGCGACATTTGGCATTGCACGAGTCGCGCAGTATTGTGTAGGGCACAAAAGAAAACGAGGCTGACCGAGATGTTGAAAAATATCGTTTGTGACAGAAACCTGAGAAACAATTAAAAACCCAATATTATTGTAAAATATTAAAAATGTATATTATTAGACTGTTTGAGTATTGTATACATACCTGAGCATGTGCAAATGACTGAAACACTTCTTTGTCTGCTTCACTCATTTCTGGTTCTATGTCATCAAATAATAATGCAAATGCTGTACAACCAAATTGACTGACTTGCTCCAGTTTTCTTTTCAAGGCAGTGACTTCCTTTGAACTGGAATACGTGATATCTAATCCTGGTGATAATGCATAATAAAAGGTTATCCCATATTCTCTCGCAGCTGTGATCAGACCAGTTAGATGCTCTGCTTCCTCGACAGTGTACAAATCTCTCCAATAAGCACGATGTTTGTAATCATCTTTTGGTGCATATAGATAAGAATCCATTCCCCATTTTTTCAATCTGCATAATTCAGCAGAACATGTATAATTCAATTGATATCATTACTAATATATGAAATATATTAGTAATATTAATATAATGCTCAAGTTGAAAAGAGAAAACAGAATTAATGTACTTAGAAAACAAGTTTGAGAATTGAAAGTAGAAAAACAGACAATAGCAAATTATGAATTTTTAGTTGAACAATAATATCACATTTCTTTTTTACTATTGATATAAAAATATTAATATTTTTATTATATAATTAAATATATGAAAAATATAGACAGATAGTCTTATAGCACAAAATAATTTTAAGGTATATCTCAAAAAATATATCTAAATAATGTTTGAAACACTTATATATAATTAAAATTAAGGACAGTAAAAGAAATATGTCAATTGTTGTGCTCTCTTGACAAATATAAACGTCTCATTTCCATTAATTTTCTTCCAGCATAAATTTATTCTTGAGACTTACTTTTGGAAGAGATCCTTTCGTTGTTCGGTGGTCCATGGCCGACCATAAAAACCTGTAAATAAGGAAATGTACATCTAGTTAAAGGATTGAAAACTACCAAGTGTTCGTCGTCTTTTGCTCGTAGTAGACATAGCATTCCCACAAAAATACTACAATACACTACAAATATTTTTAAACTATTTTGCATGATGTATTTATATACCTTCCACAACACCACAGATGAAATTGCCATTCTTCGTATTCAGATTCGCGGCCCCATTTGTCTCGGTCATTGCGAGAGATACGTTTGTTTTGGGATCAAGGAGGTCGAAAAATGGCCCGAGATGTATATCACACACTCACCACACACACACACACAAATCGTGAAAAGGGGAGAGAAAGAAATGGGAAAAAAATCAGGAAAATAGAGTCTACGAGAAAGAGAGAGAGATCACAGTACGACGTTGCGACAATAAAGTCGATGTGGTGTTTGACATACGTGTTATGCTACATTTACGAGACGCGACACAGAAATCTCACTGACATAACTTGCGAGCACAGCTGACAAGCGAGATCCCAAGAAAGTATGGGAGCGCGCGCGGAAGCCCGTAAATCTGACAGACTGCACCCGATGCACACTGATCGATACCACCGAACGATCTGTCGATTTATCGAAGAATCGACCTATCGAAGAGACACGGGAGAACTGGGAGAAGTAGATGGTGCTCCTTTGTGTGATGTGCGGTATCCGTTTGACAGTCGCGGAGAGAACTTTTTTGTGAAAATTGAGGTCAGCTGTCAGATCAACTGTCATGGTAAAGCATATTTTTAATTTGTACTTATGTATGTCTTTCTGTCTAAAATATTTTGTCGAAATACATCGAAATATTCTTATATTTTGTTACTGTCGCTTATAGTCACATTATTTCAAACTTTCCTGTCGAGAATTCTTTCCCCTTATATATTTATAACTCAATTTATAATAATTAAATACACACATTATAATATATCATATAATATATAATATATATATATATTATATATATATATATATATATATATATATTATGATATATTATAATGTGTGTATTTAATTATTATAAATTGAGTTAGTTATGTCAGTTTTATATCAAAGATTAAATATAAAAAAGGTTACATTATATATATATATATATATATATATATAATGTAACCTTTTTTATATTTAATCTTTGATATAAAACATTTATGACATTGTCAAATTGTTAGGGTTGTTCAAAAATTCGTCCGAAAATTTAATTGTCGGAGTAGAGCAGATTTTCGAACGCACCTAGAATGTAGCTGTGACGTTCAACAGGTGATGCATCTACAAAAATACATCAATCACAGGCATAAGAATCCTTCTCTAAATACAACCGAGATGTCGCGTCTAGTATTATCTTCTACCGTGACGAGACGCCATGTTCAAAGCATTTAACGCGCGGTATCTCTCGACAGTAGTGCATATTCTTTAAAAATAATTAGTAATTATTATTATGTTTTGTGTGTTTGTGTAACGTATATCATCCTTAGTGCAACATTTATCAGTAATGCTAGAAATGATAATAGATCAGGTAAGCTGTTTAGATATTATCGCGAATATATAAATAAGAGTATCAGTCGCTTCTCGCCGGTGTTATCGCTCGATATTTCTACTTGATGAGCTTTAATATTGTCATAAACGACATTATAACCTCGCAATTTATCCCAAAATGTTACTTGAATCGTGGATTTACATCTACTACGATATTAACTGAGAGAATATGCATTATCGAAAAAATAAATATTATAAAAACAATTAAATTTTATTTAATAAAAGTATATACAAAATCAAAACTTTTATGCATATCTACATACAAAATATTGATATAATTTTTCAATTTGAGATATAACAGATATCATATTTCCGATAAAAGAGTAAATATAGAATATAAGCACGAATTTACAATCACTCTCGTAAGTAGTCACGGTATCGCATTAGTCAGACAAGCAGTGAATCGAGACGTCGCGCTCGATTGGAGACATCGCTTCCGTATTCTCTCCCTGCCTCTCTCTCTTCCTCTTTCATCATCAGCCTTGAGACATAAGATGTTTGAATCGAGAGACGGAATTTAAATTAAAATTAAGATTTGTCAGAAGATAATTATGTAGACTTTAATATTTGAATGAAGAAAAAAATTATTCATCTATTCAAAGAGAATTTTGGATTTTAATCAAGTTACACATACACAAATCTGTGGTAAATAAACAGATAAAATATTAATTATAGACATGCTCTGCTTATTCAATATTTCAAACATTTATTCATATTTATTATTATTATTAATATTAAGATATTTAATATTCAGTGATGTTCTCTGTGGTTTTTGAAACTATGTTTTAAAGATTATTAAATATTGTAATTTGTTATTATTTAATACAGAATTTATTATTTGAAATATAATTATTTCTATGATCATAATATATTAACAATGACCGTTATCTACGAACATATACTGTGCTATTAAATACGATTAAAATAATAAGGTATAAAAAAAGCGAAATTTTATATATACACGAAGAGAATTTTCTCTTAGAATTTACCCTGAAAATCATGGTAATTGTAGGATAATATAATATTGGAAGAATTTTATAAGAGTTTCTCTGATTAATTATTACCACAATAAAACATATATTAATATGTTCATAGTAAATTAATGAATCGAACATATTTTATATCTTATTGTGGTAGATATTAATATTTTTATTGGAATAAATATTAATTAGAGAAACTCATAAAATTCTTCCAATACCATATTGTCTCACAATTATCATAATTTTCAAAATAAATTCTAAAAGAAAATTCTGTGTGTATATTGGAACAATTTCAAATAGAATTATACAATAATAACAATTGTAATTATATCTTCAAATCGATTAATTAAGTGAATGTGATATAAATGTCAATATCCTCTTAAAAGAGCAGAAGAAAGAAAACAATATTAAAAAGAAAAAATAGTATTATATCAGTCGGGATTGTGTGCATTGTGCATTGTTAAAAAATCAAAGTTTACTATTAATAAAAATTGATCTTTAATTCCATCATAATAGAGATCCATTTAAAATTCAACATATCAAATTGCAGTGTTGTTTAGATAAATGTATCTTTTTAAAAACATTATATTTCTACGGTTTATATATGCGCTCTTATAATATTTACTTATAAATTAAAAATTGTAATAATCTACTTTCCATATATTTTATGCAAATTAGTAATTTAAGGCGTATTATATTATATTTTTTTTCGATCAAGAAATACTATAAAAATATTTAATTCAATCACAATAAGGATCCATTATAATCCAACATATCAGATTACAGTGTTTAGATAAATACATCTTTCATAAAAGATATACGAGTTATATATGCGCTCTTGTAATATTTACTTATAAATTAAAAAGTTGTATAATAATCTATTTTTCATATATTTTACGGAAATTAGAAATTTAGGGCATTATATATTAGGGTATTATATATTTTCGATCAAGAACCGTATAAAAATATTTAAAAACTGCAAAAGAGGGAGAAATTTTCGATAAAAGGATAAACTACAAAGGACCGGGCTCGAATCGCTTCCAGGCAGCGTCGCGACGCGGCGCCTAGGTCGTCGATGAGAGGGTGGTGATTTTTTTTTGCTCCGGACTGGAGCGAAGTGGCGGGGTGGGTGATTCGAGAGGAGTGGAGAACGCACCAGGCCAGGTCGCTGCCGTTGTACGCCGTGTAGCCATATCGGAGGAGCAGTGCGAGGCCGGCTATCAGCCGCCCAACATCGGCGTGTCGGGGTTACACTTGTATACGTAACACGGCTGCTACAGACGCACATACAAACACGCACGCACATCTAGACAGATGGACAGACTGACGGACAGACAGACAGACAGATAGACAGACAAGCAGACAGATAGGCATTATATAACACCGCACGTTTCCCGCCTTCTACGTGAGTTATCACTGTATATTCCGCCGAATTCACACACACATGGAAGAATAACGAGTAAACGAACGAGAGGAAATCGTGAACCTTCTTCTTCGTATCGATGGAAATTGAAAAGGACGAGACCCTTCGCAAACCTGTGTAGCATGCGTCGTAATCGATAAGGGCGAACCGAAGGGCTTGTGTGAACGTCACCGATTTTATTTCACAGTATTTTGTAGTAATAAAAAGAAAAGTTGCTTAGTATCCCTCGATAAGGTTGCGAAATGATTATGAATTCTGATTCCGAAAAAAGTGCTAGGGACTAGCGCGCGAACGGAAAACGAAAGTGCGATTGGGCGAGGCGAGGAAAGGAAGAAAGCGAGAAAGGGTTAAAAGGAGGGAGAAAAGGAAGTGAGAAAAGATCAAGAAAAAGGAAATGGTAAAATGTGAGGGAAAGTGTGATAAGTAAGCACGAAGGGAAAAATCTATGAGGAAGGAACGTCGAACAAGATAGAAGAAAAAAAGAAAAGGAGAGTGAAAACGTAGGTGGTGAGGAAGAAAAAGGGAGAGACAGAGAGCCTGACAAAAGTCAAGGAAGGAGGTTCGAGTGGGCGAGAAAGAGAGAAAAAGGGAAGAGGGGAGGGAGAGAGAGAGAGAGAGAAAAGAGCTTGCGCGAAAGGCGAAGGAACGTGGAGGAGGACCCGACCGTGGTGCTGAATGTGGCATTCAGAGTATGGAATTCGCCAGCCGGGGACCGACGTCGTGCAGCCAGTTTCCGCCCGCGCTCGATTCACGGATTCGTCATCATCGTTGTCGGGGAGTCGCGCGCTCTCGGTAGACAAAATCCTCCCTCGTTGAGAGTCGCAGAGAGAGAGAGAGAGAGCTGTCACCCGATAAAATTCTCCCGCCGTCTATCCATTCTATCTATCGGGTTTCGTTCGGGTCGGATCATCCCCGGACAACGGCGCCTCTCCACCAAAGACGATACGAGAGTCCTCACGACGACGACGACGACGACGAAGACGACGACGACGAAGACGAAGACGAAGACGAAGACGACAAAGACGACGACGACGACGACGAAGACGACAACGAAACGACGACGGTATCGCAGTCACCGAACGGGTCCACGGGTTTTACCTCTTGGTGAGAGTGCGGATGATGCGCGATGACGCGGTCGCATCCACCACGACGAAGAGGACGAGTTGTCGCGAACGAGTGATAGTGCAACGGAGGAACAGCGCAACGCGATCATATACGTGTAACATCGTGCGAGCGAAGGGTGAACATGTCATCGCGTAAGAACTCGTGGTGACATTTTCAAGAACTCAAGGAGATTCCCCGATATCGACGTTACCGAGTGCGCGAGCAGCAATTCGTTGTGCGACAGCAGGAAGACCACCCCTTCCTTCCTCGGACATCCTTCACAT